AATCGCAAATAAAATATAATATGCGATTTTTGTAATATTAATATATTTAACACTCTGCATATGAAGATCTCATAATTCTTTGTTTAGAAACAATTGTTGAGCGTTTAGTAGTAATTTTAGTTTCTCAGTTTCTCTAGAACATTTTGTTTTTTAAAGTTTGGATTATTTTACTCTGATTAGGCTGCCCAGAAACTACAGTATATATCCGCAGATAAGACGACAGCTTAATTATAAAAAAGGTCTCCAAAATCCGGGGTCATTTTGTAGAGCAGATACAAAAAAATACATTTAAATATAAATTAAAACAAAAACAAAAACAAAAAAAATCCCTCACCAATGCATTTAAAATTCTGCAAAATCTTTCCGTTCACCATCTAAGACAAATAGCTCTTCAAATGCATCCTCCCTTTTTGTTGTTTATTTGTTGAGAAGCTCGTCAAATGGGTTCCCTTCTAAACCTTGGGAGTCGATTTCCTCTTTGTCATCAATATCCTATAACAAATCGTCCTCAGTGCCATCCATAATGTAAGAAATCGCATACTTTTTGAAGGATTTGATCACTGTTCCTACTTTCAATTTTCCCCATGATTTGATCACGAAATCATACAGCACATGAAGTGAAGCAGCCCGTATAGCAGCATCTTTCGTATACGAGTTTGGCGACCCATCATCCAGTTATTCCAATGCTCACGCATGTGATCTTTGAATGGTTTATTCAGGAAGATGTCTAAAAGCTGTAGCATCGAAGTTAAATCACCCGTTATAGTAATATTAATCTTAATATTGTTCTGAGTTAAACAATTTTTAGTTTTTACAGTCACATGATGCAAAACATATACCACACCAACAGACTGTTGATTTCGTAGAGCACTTGGGCACATTTGCTGCACATTTTCCATCAGCGATTTTACACCATTTTTGTCCATCTAACACTTTTCATAAAAATGTACGAAAGTGCCTGGCGGGAATTTAATTTTAGGAGTAGTTTTCCTCTTGAAAACGACTATGGGTTTTTAACTTTGTTCCATTTGCCATGCATATTAATACTACTGTAAACCCTGTCTTTTCATGGCCTGTACTTCTGATTTGTACATGTGTTACGTCTTAAGTTTCCACTGTTCTGTTTTTTTATCATGTCAATGTTTCATCCATATTTACAATATTTGATAATGGGATATTGTATTTTTGCCTCATACCAATGACAAATTTGTGAAAGCCCATGCTTTTATGGTCAAGATCCTGTGGCAATTTCTGCGTAAGCAATTTTTGTTTTCTCTTGTATTACCAGGTTTTTTTACTGCTCATGAAACGATAACAGTTCTGGATAATACCATTCCCACTTTAATTCATAAACCCTAATAATATTTCTTGTAATAATATAATAGTTCTGCCTCTATTCTTGTGTGAATTCTTCAAAGTTATTTTCTAAATCTCACCAGCAAGCTATTCCTCTTCCTTTGTTATATCGAAAGTCATTGCTGCAGCACAGTTGTTCAATTCTTTAGCCTATATAATAACTTTTCCTTGAAGCTTGCCTCGTATTTCCTTTTTTTTCTCGTTAGTTCTATGATTAAGCCCATATCTTTATATATTGTGCGTTGTTTACATTTATTGTGTGGTATTGAGGTAGCTTGGCTTCCATCAATTCGGCATTTATAGTATTTATAACGTATTTTAGCGTGCATTTTATCAATACATTTACATACGAGACAACCTACAGCAAAACTTATTAAAAGTGTATGTGAGTTCGTGATCTGCATGTGCTTCTGTAACCAGTGCTGCTAGATGAAAGAAAATAAAATTTGTTCCAAATGATGTTCACTAATCTAAACTAAATTTATAGGCCGTTAAAAGTTGATAGAGGGGATCGTCTTATGGGACAGATATGTGTTAAAGGTATAAAACTTTGACGAAACTTTATACTTCGTCTTATCTGCCGAACTATGCGGTGCTTTTTTTTACATTAGATAAACTGTTATGCAAAACTCAAACAGTTTCTGACAGGAATTAAGAAAATTATATGTGGTTTGGCATTGTCGTGATTAAACGTAGTTCTTTTACGATTCAGCAACTGTAGATTTTTCTCTTGTAAAGCTTCTTTCAGTCTTGCTTGTCATTCATAGTACACATTGGAAATTGATCTTTTCGAGCTTTAATAATATCTCAAAATAAATAAGTAATTCTCTTGAAATTATCTTAAGTGATAATATGATTTTTTTTCTTGATATCAACTTTTGATGTCGTTTGAGTTGGCTCATAAGTTTGGACCGTGACATTTTACATTTTACATGCTATTGTAAGCAATCACATTTCATCACCACTTATCAATCGGTTCAAAAATATATTATTTTGGTACTATTCCAAACGCGAATCACTTATATTGATATGATTCATGTTGGATCGAAATGCCAAACCATTATTAGCAGGCTTTTCAACTAGTCATCAGTGGTTGTTCTAGATGGATTCAGATTCACGGCAAACTATAATCAATTACGTGACAATCAACTTTTAATTTGTCCTCAGCAATCTGAGCTGTAACTAGACGTTCAACTAGAACGCGATTCATCTTCAACATAAAAATCACTAAATACAGATTTTCACACTCCATTAGAACATACTTTAAAAAATATCAGACGAGATTTATTTTAAACCTTTTCTGGCTTGTCTGGCTGTGTGTTCTGTTAGTGTATCCTACACAGCATAAGTATTTTTGTGTATTGCACCTGATGATTTTCAGTTTTGCGGAAATGTGACAAATGTTGATTTTCATTTTTCATCCTTCAATGTGGAATGCCTACATAATTATTACCCTACTTTAATAAGAGTTTTTTTCATTCAAAAAGACTTTATATAACATTAAAATCTTCTGCGCCTTAGTAACAGCTTTCCTGCCGAAAGCAATCGTGTGTCCGGACACAATTCCAATTATTTTTTTCTCCTTTTCCTACTTTTGTATGTCGTCTCGGAGTATTATTTTATAAAATTATTTTGTTTGTATACAGCAGGGTTTCTTAAACCTTTTTCAGTCGCGACCCCTTTTTATCACTGAGGTTTTTTTCGCGACCTCAGGACCCTATAATATTTACAAAACTTCTGTGGGACCTCATAAGTATTGCGCAAACCCGACACAGGCGTGAGTGAAACTGTCAATTTTTTCACTTACTGTAATATACTATTGCAGTTTTAGGTCATTAACTTTCTAATTTTGAGACATAGAACAATGTGAAAATTTTAAATATGTAACAGACGAAATGACAGCGTCACGTGCAAAGCAAGGAAAATGAACGTTAATATTATAAAAGAATGCTTCGAAACGTTTTCGGTTTTTTTTATGTTTTTTTTGTCTGTATTTTCTTATTATTATCTATTTTCAGATATATTGCGTAAAAATATTTGGTAATTGTAAAATTATTATAACAAGAAATATCAAAACTGCTAAAATTTTTGGCGACCCCCAGTTTAAGAAACCCTGATATACAGGATAATATTTCTTTCGATCGTTAAGTCTTTTATCACCTGCCCAGACATGTAATTTTTAATACTGAGAGCTAAGCAAATGATATTAAAATGTCGCATTTTAAATTTTATTTAGTCCGAAAACGTTCTTTCAAACATGCTGCACTGCCCGACTGCGTACTTTCACACTTGTCATTGCATTTACAAGAAATTTCTCACTCTAAGACAAATACATGTATACAAGCATTCTTCATGTTCTCCAGATTTATCCTGTTATGAGCATTTTATTTTTAAAAAACTGAAAACTCCCTCTCAAAGAAAGATTTATATCTATCTGATTTCGAAACATTCAAAGAGTTGTGAAATTCGCGTTTTCAACCTGTACGCAAAATAGAGTCAGTTCTTTCATTTAAAGCAGGAGTGCTACATTTCGAATAAGATATTCTACAACTTTTCATTTCTTTAAGCATATTATTAATATTTAGTAATCACACTGCGTACATTTCCTACACTAGCATGTCACACTATACTATGTAAAACGCTAACTGTGTTTCTTAGCAATTTTTAACTTTTTTAAAATTTTTGATAACATAAAATAAAGCTTTTGTGACAACCATCTTCCTAAAATGATTACCTTTAAGAACGATCAATATTTCTGAGGGTATAAATAAACATCATTACCGAACCGAACATCATTTTGGTAAGACGGCCACTTTGAAAACGAAAATTATTTTTATTTTGGGTATTTTTTTCTCACTTTTCCTATTTGAAATAATTTATAATATAATGATATTTTTTTATAAATAAAATACGCTCCTAATGTGATATATTATGTACATGGCTTTGAAATAATATTTGTTTTATTTGTAGTTAGATTAGAGTCCGATACACCACGTTCTAGAAGTATATAATTAAGAACATAATTTTCTATTATCACTCGATACGTGAAGTATATGTATCTGGTGATTATTTTAAGTAGATAATTTTCTAACAGCACCATACACTCAAAATATATAATTAGGTAGATAATTTTCTAATACCGCCGGATATTCAAAGTGTATAATTAAGAAGATAATTTTTATTGTCACTAGATATTAGGAGCATCTAATTAAGTAGATAATTTCCAGATATCATGATCGCCTCTGATGATATGAAAGATGTTAGTTTTTGCAGTTTTAGACATTTTTTAATTATCGTTTAGTTTAAAAAAATCATTTTTCTAAAATTTTTGTTATAGAAGTGGAAGAATAATTTTTATTGATCATGATATTAGCCAGTTTGTAATAATTAATTGCTATATTAATTACTTTCTGATTTTAGAGAATTTGGGGAAGGAATTAAAGAATGATATTTAAATTACTTTCGTTCCTTTAATTTGTCTAAGTTTATATTTTCCTTATGCTTTAAAAATCAGCATCAAATATAGTATGATATGTAATCGGTGATTGGTATGTTTCCACAAAGGGGAAAAATAACACCAATCATGTTTCAAGCAGGATTTTGAGTTTCTAAAAATACGTAATATTTTTACTTTTGTTTTTCAGATTCTCTTTGGTGATTTGGAGGATTTCAGTTTCCCGTTTAGGATGCAAACAGTTACATACAGATCACGTTCTGCTAAAAATTGGACCCTCGTATAATTGGACAAAGGATCATAAAAATGAACATTCTTGAAAGATGGTAAGTTTTCTGACATGCAAAAATCAATAAGTTACGAAACTGTAAGCCAGAAATAATTATACTTTATAATAATACATAGTGAGACCAAAAAATTTCAGTATTAAATTTGTGCAAGATCAAAAGCTGTAGGAAACAACATTTTTACTTTTTAACATTCAACATACAGTACTTATAGGTATATGCAGCGCTTGACACAATTGTACAGCTGCTAGATTCTTCCAAAGAATTTATGTTTCAAATTACTGTTTTGAATTTCTAGTTAGTTTTATGAATCTATTCAGAGCTATTAAAATATTGGCCATTCACTTTAGGAAAATAGTCTGCAAGTCTCAGATCTGAACAATAAGGCTATTAAGAAATATGACATTTCTTTGTCAGGAACAGTCTGAGGAGAACAGGGTTGTGTGACAGCGCATTTTCATACAGCTAAAGCCAATTATTCGATTGAACGTTTTCAGACCAAACGCGTTAAATTCTCTCTAGAATCTTGTTCATTATGATTTTATAAAATATGTAGTCCATCATCTATTCCTCAAAAACAAATTCATTGTGAGTTGTTACTTTATGAGCAAAAAAGATCACCAACATGGTCTTTATTTTTGATTTTTGAAGTCGAAGTTTCTGTGACAGCGGTGAACCCTCTTCAGCCCTAGTAGATGACTGCTATTTTCTCAGCATCGTAGGCAAAGTACGAAATTTTACCCTCAGTCATAATTTGCTTGAAATTTTTTTTCTATTTTTCCAGCTTTGTAACAAATCTTTATTGTTATTCGTTGCTCAACTTTCGATTCCATGGTAGCAGATGTTCACTGGATCAAAGCAAACGATTAAGTTCATAAAAATTCTGGCCGTAACCTGACAATTTTTAAGAAAAACAATGTAGAATGTAAATAAAATATAGTAGAGATAGAAACACGGAAATAAATGCTATCAATTCTTATGCGGTAGGTTTACTAAAGTTAAAAGAATTAAATTAAAAAACCTTAGACACACTAAAAAAGAAAAACTTAGACACACTGTGTAAGACAATGTGTGCAGTTTAATATTATTTATTAAAGGATGTTCAAAATTCAACTTCTATGCGTTAATTTTTTTCTAATTCCTACTTCATTAATTGTTTGAATTAAAAATGCTTTCTGCATCGAATAGGCATTTGGTTTTATTTTTCCCAGAGTACGCATATTGTAAATTCTACTTAAATGTTTACACTTCAGTTCCATTAATAATGTATATGCTAACGCCAAAGTGTGAAAAACAGCGTTGTGTATAGATTATCCAGAACGTTATTACAATACCTGATGTTTTTTAGGCAAAGAAATGTCTGTGTTATTAGTCCAAAGGGATTTGAATCCCGAAGGACTATTAGTTTCGTTTTGGCATTTTGCGTCGGACTCATAAATGTCGGTTCACTTTTCAAACTGTTGCCACAAAATGTTAGAGTCCTGCATTATATTTGAAGAAATTAAATAATGAAAAATCTGCATAAATGTATGTATATTTCTCGTATTGTGATAAAACAACGGTACATAGAGTCATCGAATTTTGAATAACGTAATCCTCCAACGAATATGAGCATGTGGAAGACCAAATTTGAAATTTGAAATTTGTTTTATGATCGATTTCCTATTTTTTTAAAACTTTGACGAATTTTTGATTAACAAACTCAAGGATTTCAAAGCGAGCAATGGCAACGTTGTGCAGAAAAAACATTTTTATCTCCAGCGCGTAAGTCTCTGTATCGGAAATTCTAAAGATATGCTCGTTTTAAAACTATTTTGCGATATTGCTGTTGCACTGGATCTTAGGGTTTAAGTGCGAGGAACATGATATTTAATAAAGAAAGATAACACACAAAATGTTAAAAAACGCCCCTTTGGACGTAATTTAAAATCTGAAACATTTCAGATTTTTTTTTTTTTTTTTTTTTTTTTTTTTTTTTTTTTTTTTTTAGAATGCAATACTTTATTCATTTAGGTATTTTCGAGAATCACAAGTACTATTTAAAATATGAAAAAGGTATTGAAGAGCACATATGAAAGGGGAATAAATATAAAATAATATACAGGAAATCTTTTAAAAAAGCATATATGAAAGTGAGAGAAAAAGGCGTAAAATGAAATGCAGGATTCTTTTACAGAAAAAACAAGAGAAAAAGACATTATGTACATAATTATAGCAACTAAGAAATGTGGAATAAATAATGTGAACTGTACTAACTGCCGTTTTTTACGTAACCAGCAGTTTAAACTTTCACACTATAAACCTTTTTAATACATACATCGGCTAAATCTTCAGCTATGATAAACTTGTCATTGGTTGTATGTTATATATGCCGATTTGCCTTTTGGTATGAACAATTAAGTAATACATTTTTTAACTTTCCATTTTTGGCATTTTATAGATTTCATAGGCAATATGTTTTATATATGTCATATATGTCATATATTCATATACATATATTTTACGCATCTTCGATAACAAAATCTTTGACCCGCATGGTGGGATTTTATTAATCTTTGTGAAGTACGTATTACATGAAATGGATTGATAGCCTATGCTCTTAAGAAGTCCTAGTCTTACCTTACTAAATACTTCTTCTGGGGCTTTGTTAGTAATGCGATTTCACAATCAAACAATTGTTCATCTTCACCATCTGAAAAATACAATCACGCAAGCAATTGCTAGTGCTACGTCAGAAGCTCTTACCAGACGTATGCACCGAAACTGAATATTGCTATGACGACTGTGATGTTATTAATGGGGCAATATACTAAAAGTTACTAACTTTATTAGTGATCATTTTGACTGACTAAATTATATAAAAACATTTTCAATCTGTTTCATATGAAATTATACTTCAGAGATACCCGCCCTCACCATTCGTTCTTGGAAATTCCCCGCCCCCACTATTCGTTCTAGGAGATCTTATATATCTCGGAAACCAAGTTAACTATTCAATAACGTAGTTCACATAAGTATTCTGCGTAAGCAACTGAATGATATTCCTCTGCAATATCGTTCTTTAATCTTAGAAACCCTCAGAATGTGGTCTTGGATCTATGAAATTATAACTGGATATAAATGACCAATAATATTATATAAATTGTACGCAAATTAAAATTTTTACTAAACGCAATATAAATTTGCTAATTTTTAACACGTTAATTATACTGTAAAATGTAGATATAATTAATATGTGGATTATATGTTAAAAAAAGAAGTTATTGTATGTATCATTAATTCGAAATTCTTAGCAATTAGGGTAGCATCCTCGTCTAACCGCGTTCTGGGTTAAAGACTAAAGAAATAAAGTTTCTAAATATTTCATGAAAAAAAAAATGTATTGGACAAAAAGCCTGAATGTATCTATGAAAATAGTATGAATCACTTATCTGGCAAAATTTAATTTTTGGTAAATTAATTACCGCTATAATAATGTAAGAAACAAGCAAAACCTGATAAGGTAAAATTCAAAATTAAGTAGCATTAATTTCAGGAAAATTAGTTTCAAGAAATTCATTTTGAGAGAATCTCTAACAGTTTCTTTGTTTCATTAATTTTTATAACAATACCCAATAATTATTGTTTAGTTCTTCAATAATTATGCTTGATAATTGATTGTATAATTGTCATGATATTGATTATTTCAAGAATACATCAATAATAAATAAAATGACTAAGTAAAACTTCGTTCTTTGGGGAAGGGAGGAGATCAATCTGTGTTGAGATTTCTCGGAATATATTTTTATAACATAAAACTGAACTTGCATTTTGCCTAGTTTTAATTGTCTTTATTATCGATAAATATTGTTTTAGATGTATTGGTTTCACAATATTCCGAAAATTTAACCAATTTTCAAGAATATAGTTTGCTGTAGAATTTGAATGGAAAATATAAAAACAAAAGTCTCGAAATAAACCTAATTACATCACAAGGAAAATAAAGTTTTGTTTGCCCTTCGAAATACTATAAAATGTTTTTGAATTCATGAAAGTAATTTTTAATTTAACTGTGATGAATTTGCCAGTAAACTGAAAATTGTTAAATAGAAGCATTGCGGGCTTTGATATTTTTACGCGTAATGTGTTGCATTATATAATCAAAATTATTAAACATTTCTCTCTATATGTATTATGATAATAGTAATGTGGATATTTAATAAGTTAGAAAACCTTCCTACATTTCATCCTGAAATAGATTTTAAATAAATATTTCTACCTTTAGACATCAACAAATTTAAAACAATTGAATTATAATTAATAATTATCAATTTCGTAAACAGAAGATAAACTTGTAAAGAATAATCGCATTCCCTTCTCCTTGTCAAGGTGTAACTGGTTAGCACTTCCAGCTGACGAAAGGAAGATCTGTTGTTCGAACTCCCAATTTTCCATGTTTCTTGCACTCGGAAAAACTTAATAGTCTTCTCAAAAAAAGATAACTGAATTATTACTTCTTAAACGAATAATTACTCATCCAACCATTTGATAATTCTATACGCTTATATTTATAGAAATCTGACCCATCATCCAAATATTGTTGTGAAAATTCGCTTTTCTTAATGCAATATATTTACATTTTATCTCGTAACACTATAACATTCAGAAACATATATGCTTCCTGACAGTCTCAGGAGCTCTTTTCACATATTTCTAGATCTATAAAATGCTCATGAAAGCAGTTTAGAAGCTCAGATACACATGCGTATTCTTAATAAGGTGCTCAGTGGTATTTCCTCTGCAGTTTACAAACTCAGAAACCCGCATATGCCTTGCTCTTTTATAATTAATGCATTTAAAGCTACGTTTATGGCACAATAAGTTCTGCGCCAAAAGTTGGCCGAGTAGCTTTAATATTTATTTATGCTTTGTAAATGGGTTTGATAAAACAAAACTGAAGCATTTCAAGATACAGAACTAACTGATAAACATCTTTGTTAAATAGTTCTGTGGTTTTAAGACTTAAATATTTTGGAAGAGATTGTTCTAAAAAGAAAATTCGCGTCATCAGTGTATTGTGTTCTAAATACATCTAATCAAAATTAGGTCAGGTCTAATTTTAATGATTTGAATAATAACTTTGTAACGACAATGGGAAGTAGCAGGTGATGATAGTTAGTTCGTGCGTCGTTTTCTTAAATGTGTACGTCTATATACGTACGGATATATAACTAATTAGTGTTATAAAAGCTGTTGTTCGGAAAATCGCCAATTCGATTCTAGCCATTTACAAGTATAGTTTGATGGTGTTTATCACTCTCATTAATTTATTTAAGGAATTGAGTATAAATACATAATACACAAGGTAATTTTTAGAGTAAAAATAAAATTCATTAACATATACAGTTTGTAATAAAAATAAACTGAGTATTTTTCTCTTACTGTATCCAATAGTTTGGTCAAATTATTTGCACTTAATATGATATATACTGTAAATAATCCCTATACTGTAAATAATCAGTAATTTATTAAAATTGACCAAACAGAAATATGTAAAGTATGTAAAAAATAGATACCAGTGATTTTTTTTAGAGCAAATGTCCTTCAGGGTAAACGAACCGTCAGCATGATAAATGAATCATTCTGATAACGTAAAATTGGTACATACCTCAGTACTTTAGGATTATTTTAAAAAAATTCATACTGTAAAATTTATAAAAATTTTAATAAATAGTAATAAAATATTAAAGGATTGTAACTTCAATTCCTTCATCCAGGCTTACATGTATTTTTATTACTACTATGAGCGTACGTATGGGCTCGTAATAGACTGAATGCAGTAGTCCGATAAAAAGTTAATATTATTCTTATCATCATCTTATTCTTATCATAAGAAATATAAGGTTCTAGGCTTTCCTCAAAGATATTCGTACAATATCACACAGTAGTTATATTTTAAACTATTAAAACGTTAAATAGAATGCAGTCCAAGGCTCAGAGAAAGCTAATCCAATCTCACCGAAAATTCGCTACAATCAATAACAACTAAGTAGACAACTGAACTGAGATGTTTCTCTCCGGCTTTAGCTTTGTATTCGGGCACGAGAATGTTCTGGTAATTTCAGTGTTCTCGAGATTTCTGGAAAGCAAAAGAGTACAGGTACAGGTACAGATAAAAGTATGGGGAACACCAGCGATGTATCATGGGTCAATGGTAATGCCTTCCCACGCTAACTATTCAAAAAAGGAAGGAAAGAAAAAATAGTAGCAAAAGAGTAGAATTACGGTCACAGCTGACACAATAGTCAAATCCATTTATTAGTTTAAATATAAATTACGAAACAGCTATTTATTAAACACGCGTGCTCCTGTATTTTTACTTTTTCAGCGTAGCTTTCTCTTAAAACTCGTTACGCGCTGCATTACTCGGAGAAATAAAAAATTTTAATTACAATACTACTAAAAATATCTAACTAAATATAAAATTCATAACGATACACGCCCTTTGGATCTGCTGGTATATATTGTAAGAATACATCTTGAGATTTAAAGGTTAATGGCAACAGGGGAACAGAGAAATACATTAACTTTTAATGCATATAAAAAAATTATGTATCGTTGACAGGTAAAATGTGCTTGATTAACTGGCTAAATTAAACTGTCAAGGTAACAATTTTATTTGAGAGATAGACACATTATTTCAGTTAAATAAACAGGTTTCTCTGAAATTGAAGTAGTAGTTTATACAATCTGACATTGTGATGATATTATCAATGGCAGAACATCTCAAAACAAAGCGCTGTGCAAATAGGAGGGGAAAAAAGAAGATTCAAATATTTTAAGTTTGACTGTCCAAATATAATAAAAGAATAATTAAAGTCAACTCCCAATTAAACGGGAGCGGCCGCAACCAGAAAATTGTCTAAAAAATGGTAAAGTTTGTTTATTTACGGAATGAAGGAAAAATTTTTGTTGTTAACTAAAATAAAGCAGAATATCTAAGAGAAATGCAAAAACGACAAGAAAATGCGCGAAATAAACAACATTTATCTGTCCGCAATTTAATTGTACATTATCTGGAATATGTGAATATTGTTAAATCGTCTATTAGAAATAAATTAGTAAATCCCACAAATAAATTAAGGGTACAGTTGTGAAGTCGTCTATTTTCGACTCTATCAAAGTACGAAAATAATATAAACAAAAGCTTTGTTTATCCTGTTTTGGAACTGCTCTTGCTCTGAATGCTGATTTAATTAACCTAAACAAATGAACTGCAATCTAAACTGCTTAAAAATACGGGTAAATTGTTAGTGGTATTTTTTGTTAATTACAGGTTATTCCTCTTTCATATGTTTTTTAACGGCTGTCGGATTGACCATGTTTTTGGGTTAACTGTGTGTGTCGTCTCGAGAATTACGCTGGTTAATTGTAAGTCTGTTGTATTTGCATTAAGTTACTTTGGCGGAGGGATGTGTAATTTAAGTACTATATTGATAAAACGCGTATTTATTTTATTTGCATTAAGTTACTTTGGTGGGGGCATGTGTAATTTAAGCACTGTATTGATAAAACGTGCATTTATTCTCAGCTTTTATTAAAAATAAAAAATAATTTTTACGGAAATTCCTTTTTACCATGAATAATTACTTCCTTTTGATTCTACAAGTTTGGTTAAATAATATTTGTGTTAGAATTTTGTTAATAATATTTATAATGATTTTAGTGTTCTCTTCAGACATTTATAGCGATATAAAATTATTTGAATATTTTTAATTGATTTTTCTAATTCTATTTCATGATATATACCTAAAATTACTAAAATTTTGTAATGTGTTTTGAAATATGTATGAAAAATTCCCACTTGTTTTTATTTATTCTATTAGGTGTTTTCGAATGTATTCTGTGAGGTCTTCCTAAACTAATTAATTTTTTTCCTTTTCAAAATGATAAATATACGCGTGATATTTAGAATTTCAAAAATTAAGAACTTAGCACAGCAATCGAATTGGTATTATACTTTTTACTTTTTGCTGTGCAGTAGGACCATACATCCAGAATAATTGTCAGGAAATATTTCTTTTTTAAATTTATTGCGTATTAAATATATATATATATATATATTTAATTTAAAAATTAATAAACTTATTTGAAGCAATTTTATTAGATTGATAATTTTCCCATTAGAAACGGTAGTAACATTTGAAAAACTCAATCTTAAAATTGTTTGATTGTTTTTTTTTTAAGTTAGTTTTAATAGTTATTCAATAACTAGTTCTTTATGTTAGCTTTAAAAGTTGTTCAATAACTAGTTTTTGTACTAGCTTTCAAAGTAGTTCAATGATGCTTTTTGAATTTACAGTAGGACAAATTAATACATATAACACTTGGAATGGATTCGAAAATGGTTTATACAAGAACATGGATATCAGGATGAAAATTGGCTGAGAGTTCAGGACATTGCTCTCTCTAAGTTCAGAATGCTCCTTTACAAGGCTTAAAAGACATGGTCTTGATGACTGAAATTAAATGTGAGAAGACTTATAGTTCTTCCACTGTGCAGCTGAAGGGCTTATCAACACGTGTAGATTATTCATGCAGTTTTGTACAATATTTTACCTTATTTAATTTAGTTTTATTTTCTAGGGTCCAGAATTCTAAGTCACGTAACTGTACTTATGGACAAAGCTAACTTGAAAGTACAAGAAAAACTACAGTGTTGTGTACGTGTCAAGTATTAGATTTTGGAAAGCTGTTGTATCATGAAAGCCTCTATAACTAGAAGTGACTCGGGAAACTGAGAACAGATGAAATTAATGTATATAAAAAATCATTAAATTTTGTATTGGTTGAATTTTAGACATTTTTCTTTACTAAATCTTATTTTGACACCAGAACAGAATGTACCAATAAATATCAAATGGCTTATGGACAAAGAAGAACAAAAATCTACCAAAAACATTTAATTCGTTTATTTGATAAGTAATTCTGTACACGAAAAATAAAAAAAGTCTTCATTTTTACTTTCTGGGGAGTACGAAATTTCGGAAGTTTTTACCGATGAACTCTATTATTAACTACCTTTTTCTGACTTTATTTTAAAAATCCTTTCGCAAAGAGTTAATATTGTAAACTGCAGTTACATACGGATTGTGTGCACTTTGTCTGACCATGAAAGTTTCAATCCAGCTCAGAAGAAAGGAGTATTTTTAAACTGTTTTCTGTAACTTGCGAAGCAATGCCTTTCATAACCCCTCCTTTCCAGGAAACAGACAAGTTATAATAAATTATAAACAAAACTGATTCAACATTTCATTTTCAAGTAAAGAAAAGAGAGGGAATATCGAAATTTCATGTTCTATTTCTTAAAACAATTCTCAGCAGAAAAAGTTCATATGAAGTATTAGTAAATAGATTGCTTTAGCATTTTTTTTAGTATTCTTAGGTTACCTTTGCCGAGCAATAGTGTAATGTTTATGAGCTTCTATAAGTTCCAACTGAACGGATATTGTTATGTAGACTATCAACTGGACATTATTAAGTATACAATCAACAGGACATTATGACGTAGAAAAATATCAACAACACCAATTTTTGTTTATCCTAATCAACTTCTGAACGATACTGAGCAATTCATATTGTCTGTTGATATTTTTGGGGGATAGTGATAATTTTATGAACGCTCGCTTTGATATACATTCTTTGAAATGTACAAACGTAACACATTTTTTCATGTATCACGGTACGAAATAAAAGAGTTATGCATCATCAACCCTCGAAAGACCCCTTGACAATGTGAATGAATCTCTTGTGCAATGTGCGTTATTAAAGTGTCTTTTAATTCATTTCCCAAAGGTACAATGCAAGGTAACCATGTAGTAACGGAAGTGCATGTGATACATTTTGAGTACAAAATTAATTGCCTTTAAAAATCAGAGGTCTGTTTTTTTTATCTTGTAAAATACAATGAATTTTCTCAATTTTATGGAGCCAAAGAAATGTAAAACTTTATTATTTATTCATTTTTATGTTGCCGTTATAATCTTATGTTCTTACGTATAGTTATTTAAAAGCGCATATAAGTGACATGAATAATGTATGAAACCAAACACTAATGGCAGTGTTTTCTGCTAAATGAATTAACTCACATTTTTCTTTTTAAGAGTATACTTCGTTGTTCACTGAAGTTTTTATCCGGCCTTTATTTTCGCAACCGTTGATGATAGACTAACACTTCCAGTTACAAAACCTTTTAAAACGGCGCAAAAATTCATGTTTGGGCATTTTTAAATTTAAAGAAATCCATTATGTAGAAGTTACGAAATCTAAATTTTTATACATTTCTCTAGTTCTTAGACTACTTAGGAACATTTTGTAGCCCTTACAAAAAAATCAAACCCCAAATGTTTTGACTTCAGTATGATAAAAATTGAGTGAGATAGTTTATATAAAAATCGGGGATCATATTTAGGGGCCATATACAAATTGATGAGTGAAATGTTTGTATTTGTACGTAACTAAAAATAAAATATCAGTTTAAAAAATGCTTTTTGATGTCAAGAGATTAAGTGACAAGCGTTTAAGTATTGATAAATATATATATATATATATATATGTAAGATAAAATTATATGAATCAGAATTATAATATAACTAAAAACATTAATTCTTCCTCTCTATTCTAAAATCGTAATAACTTATCTGCATTGCGTCATTCAAATTAATCATGCGATCTTATGTAACCGTTAATACCAGATGCCTCTTGACGACCAATCACCGAATTGTAAACCAAAACTTTTCTCTTCGCGTGATTCCATCTTTCATAACTACGCACTTCAGCTTTTGCTCTGTGCTGTGCTAAGATGTAATTTCGCTGGCTTGCTCTCTATCTCAACAATATCAAAAATGTAAATCTTCTGTGGAAAGGCACAACTAGAGTGCCAAGTGATTGTGGCCACAAATATGAATTGCAAATAAAAATGGAAGTAAAATCGCTTCTCCTGCCAAGTTTTATTTACGAAGTCAACACATTAGCTTACGACGCAATCAGATTACTTCCTCTTCAATATAGGATAACTACACATCGACATTGTTCCGTCTTTCTTCCTTGTGCTTTTATTATGACACTTAAGCCGGTAAGGATAGTTTCCTGCAGCCTGAAACCTCAATGGAAAATTTAGTTCTGCTCTTCAAATCATCGTTTTGTGATAAATCCAAGATAGTGTGAAAGAAGTGAATCATCAAATTTGTTTTTTTCAGTGTTTAAAAAATAACAGATCATTCTTCTGCTGTGGTGTTTTGCAAGTGCTTCAAAAAATAATCACGCGTAGTGTTTACAGATTGAAAGTAATCTCTCGATAAATTGAGAAGTTTGAAAGTAATCTCTCGATAAATTGAGAAGTTCGAATGCCTAGTGAAAAGGAAATCATCAGTGAATTACCGTTTAGGGATTCAGCATTACAGCGGGTTCAAGGTCGATCTGAGTTAGTGTTTGCAAGTATGTGCGACAGAAAATTATTTGCATTTCCACTTTTTCAACAGCTCAAAAATTTATTACATTCGTGTGAATCTAAGCTCAGGAAACTAAATCATTTAATGTGCTGCGAATTCTATAGTTTTCATTTCAACTTTGGTTAAAATTTCTGCATTTCTGCAATTTGTTTTGAGAAAATCTGAAATTCTTGTTCAGTAATTTTTCATAATTATGTGTGATAATTATGTGTGAGCAAATTAAGTAACGCTTAATTTTAAGCTATTTAAATTATTCATAGGGAGGATATAAAGACAAGTTTTTATGTTTTTGAAATTTTGTTGAGAATTTTGAATACGAATTTTATAATTATTCTAAAAATGAAGTAGGTGTAAAAAATAAGTGAAATTATTACAGATACGTAATATGAAATTATGGTAAATGCATGTTAAATTTATGGCTGATTGTGTGTTAAGTATAGTATGATGAGGGTGTACTGGTTCCTTCAACAGAGGCCTGTAATTACCTCTGTACAGTTGTTCCCTTCACCCTCTTCAAGTAAGATAATGTTGGAGGCTCTCATTTTATGAGTGTGTGAAATTAATTTTTATATTGTTGTTATTATTATATTTTTTTATTATTGGAATGTATTAGTGTAGTTCTCAAAGGCCAGTTACCTTAATTGCAAGGAACGGAGGCCTTTTCAAGTAACTGCCTAGGCACCCTGGGCCACCAATACAGAGAACACACTGGTTAGCTCAAGAGGACAGCTCTATTGATGGATATGTTTGCTTAGAAGTATTGCGAGGCTTCCAGTTTGGTAAAATACAGGAATTGTAAATGAAAGATAACGGTGAAAACATAATTTCTGAAGCTTACTCTATTACTATATGGTATTAAAATATAATTTATCAATCTGAAAATTAATATCAATAAATATTTATGTGCATTACATTTAATTATAAGTAATGATTATGTAAAAGTTTATTTTGTGATATTCTGCGATAACAAGAACCTTCCCTGAAGAATTATGATTATGTGAACTCTCAAACAAAAAGACTTTTGGACCGAAATGCTGAAAAATTCAATAGGATTCTAAAATTAAAAAATTATATTAAAAAAAATTGATATTTATAAATTATACTTTACAGGACAAAAATTTTATGAATTATGTTTTTTTTTACATTTGCTAGTGCTTTAACTCTTTCTCTTTAAAAAGGTTTCACTGTCGCTACGCCTTTTTCTTTTTGAAGGGGGGAAATATGTAAGATAAAATTATATGAATCAGAATTATAATATAACTAAAAACATTAATTCTTCCTCTCTGTTCTAAAATCGTAATAACTTATCTGCATTGCGTCATTCAAATTAATCATGCGATCTTACGTAATCGTTAATACCAGATGCCTCTTGACGACCAATCACCGAATTGTAAACCAAAACTTTTCTCTTCGCGTGATTCCATCTTTCATAACTACGCACTTCAGCTTTTGCTCTCTACCGTGCTAAAATGTAATTTCGCTGGCTTGCTTTCTATCCCTAAAATATCAAAAATGTAAATCTTCTGTGGAAAGGCACGACTAGAGTGCCAAGTGATTGTGGCCACAAAATATCAATTGGAAATAAAAATGGAATTAAAACTGCCTCGACTGCCAAGTTCTTTAAATACTACGCAATCAAAAGTCTTCTTCAATATGGGTCTAAGCACGCATCGACACTGCTCCGGCTTTTCCTTGTGCTTTTAATATTACATATATATTTTAAATACAGCTCATATTCACAGAATCTTATCGAATTCGTGCTCAAGAAAAGCCTTCCAAGCTTCAGTATCGGAACGTAGTCGCTCGTAGTATTTTTTGTATTAATTAAAAATAAAATATATTTCAAGTTTTACTAATTTTTGTATGATTAACAGATTATGATTCTAAAATAATAAAACTTAATGAGAATATTAGTATTATATTATTATACGTGTGAAACTTGTAAATTATTTTGTGTTAAAATTTTTTCGGCATCAGACGTAAAAAAAATATAACTTCAAGACACACTGACAGAAGAATATCATCAAATGACATTTAAGGGGGGAACTTAACCACGAATTATTCTAATGTATTTATTAACCGACCCATCAATGCAAAATGAATAAACGTTAAATATCGCAAACTTTGAAATTAAATATTTCAGTCAATTTTTGTCATACTGGAGTTTTAAACTTTTTATGTTTTATTTTTTATAAAAAGACGATGATTTTTCTAAATATGAGCGTAGGGATAAAAGTATAAAAAGTTGAATTTCGTAATTTTTACCAAATTGATTGACATGAATACTATGTACGCGACTCAAAACATACTTAACTGACGTATATGTATCGACTGCGAAAATAAA